AAGTCTTGGTTATGCCAATATATAATATATGATATTAATAGATTAGTATTATATTAATATATGACTTGTTGGGGCCAGGGAGATGGCTCAGTGGAATATGCGCTTCCCTGGCAAGGGCCTGAGTTCAATCCTCGGTTCCGCAAAAAAAAAAAAAAGACTTGTCAAAAAAGTTGAACTATAACAAATCAGGCTTAGTCTCTCATATTAGGAAAGAAAAACTAGGGAAAGAACACCAAATGTGGGCACAAGTGGCAGCGAGGCCCATGGTGAGTGTCCAAATGCAGCTGACCAAGCTGTGAGGGACACACTGGCTGGGGTTGGCAGGCGTCCTACACTTTGATCTGGTAATATTCTGGGCATCTAGGCTAAGAAGCAGCATTTAAAAAAAAAATGTATTTAGTACAAGGTCTACAGGATCTCACTACACAGCTTGGACTCACAGTGATGCTCCTGTTTTCAGCCTCTCAAGTGCTGGGATTACAGGTGTGCACCACCATGCCCAGTCTCAATCGCTGTCTCAGCGTGCCCCAGGAGTAGGGCCGGCACGGCAGGCTGGGGACTGAACCCCAGTCACTATGCCTGCCTAAGCAGGCATTTTAGTCCGCTGAGCTATCTGGCGAGCCCTAACAGCTTTTTATTTAATGCTGCAATTAATCTTTTTGTATGCAGTTAAATTAGTTCTCTACATAGGTAAATACTTATGGCAAACAAAGTAGCCAAGATAGAACAAATTCTATGTACAAAAGAACTTCAAGTCAGGAATAGCTGGAAACACAATGTCACCAAGCACAGTAACTTGCAGAAAGGACTATACCTGACATGTCACTTCACCTGTCCTTTCTGAGTATATATTATTTCTGTAAAGAAAACTATGGTGAAAAGTATTAAACTACATGAGCTTTATATTACAATACATGAGCTCCAGGGGATATGGTTCACAAACGCTAAAGCAAGATCTGACTTTGGTATCTTTTTTCTTTGGTTTTTTAAATTTTGAAAAAAAAAAAAAAAGTGATACAATAGCCTTAGTAACAGGGTAACTTTACTGTGGATGAGAAGCACTGGGTTGGGAAATAAAATGAGAAAGTATGTAATAAAATGTATTTCTTAAGTCATTTCACGTTATTATCAATTAACTTGCTTGATCCATGCCCCAAAGCAAACCTACCCTGTCCCGAGAGCGAACCTAAATGTGCAGCTGTTCTACAAAACATCCTCTTGGCCCCAGAAATGAGACAACTGAAGCTGGGCCGGCTCTCTGCAGTGGTTGCTCTTAAAGTTACCATAGCCAAGACCTGCATTCCTCAGACTGCTCTGTAAATCAACTGCAGTTCAGCTGGTCTGACTTAAAAAATTTTTACACATCTAAACACTGTTTTTGACAGATGGAAGTCATTCTATTTTCTCACTATATCCTCTTCCTCATTTCTCCCTTCTTTTAACTATTTAAGTGCTTACTAAGTACTGGGCCTGGTCAAATGCTATGCACCAACTACGCCCTTTAACTTCCAAACAGCACTGCTGCCATCCTCACTTCATAGGGGAGGAACCCAGGAGCAGCCAGTTACCTTGCCCAACGCTGCAGCACCCTGGTACATTTAGGTACCATTCAGTGTTACTAAAAATAATAACACATGGTACCTGCCTGGCAAATATGAAGTCCTGAGTTTGATTCCAAAAAACAAACAAAAAAAACTTATCAATATACTAAACTAGTTTTAGGTTAGTCACATCAATGTCTCTCTCCTTGAGAGCATGAGAAAGCAGCACAGCACAAGTGACTGACTGCAGGCCTAACTTCTGGTGTCTCAAACAGAGGTGTAGTAACTGCTAGGTTACTTGTTGACTTTGTTTAGATATACTGTACAGGTTTATGCTAGATACCAAACATTTTGCAAAGTTCAACAATATATGAAACTAATATTCTTTCATAACCCAAAGGCTTTGCTAACTAACATCAACAAAATACAATTCAAGTGACTCCCCATAATTACAACTGAAGAAAATTTTTAAAGAAAAACATATTCACAGGGTGAATTTTATTATCAGTGGAAAAACTCAGTAGCTTGGCAATTTATTAACATAAGGCCTGAAATAAAAATTTCTATTAATATATATGGAACTGTAATTGAGATGTCTCTTAATAAGTACTAACACTTTTCTAAACAGGAAAAGTAATTTAGTATTTTTAATAACACTAATACCTATTTTCCAAGTTTACAATATAAAAGAAAGAGTTTTAAGACTCCTGTATACCTCTCAGGACAAAGGAGAAATTCTCTCAGACATTTTGTTAAGTGCTTCTAATTTCAAGAATCCAGAAATTTAACATGTACCTTCAAATTAAAAAACCATAAAAACTAATTTTTCTTGCAACTACAATACGGACATAAATGAGAATGAGTCACACCTTAATAAAACATGCAGCACGAATACTTCTTACCTTTTCGGAACCTCCTGTAGCTGATTCTTACTGAAGTTAACAGAAGTGACGATGTTGGTTTTTACTGCATCAAATACTTCATCAGGAATCAAAGGTGTTTGCTTATCACTAAATGAAAAATGGTTTTCAAATGAAATACTCTTAGCAATCCAAAGATAGGACTAGTATACAGTTTTAAAGGCCAGAGGTTTTGTAATAGTTTTCAAGGTTGCTGATTGTGATGTCCCATAAAAATGACAGACAACATATTATGTCACGACACTGCGTGCCAACCTCTGTGCATTCATAAACTCTGTGAATAAAAACCAAGATACTCTCATAATGTGGGAAATGTGGATGTCCTATTGTAACTAGCATATTCTTCTACCTTTGCCTTGACCTAAATTTATAATTTTTCTTTCTTTTCGTTTTTTATTTGTTTTTTGGTATTTTAGGGAAGGGTAGCAGTAACAAGGTGCTCAGGGTCTCAGTACTAGATCGGACTCATAGTGATCCGCCTGTTTACAGCCTCCCAAGAGCTGGGATTTCAGGCATGCGCCACCACACCCAGTCTTACTTACTGTCTCGGCGCGCCCTGGGGGCGGGGCTGGCATGGCAGGCCTGAGGACTGAACCCCCGGCCAATCTGCTGAGTTATTTGGCGGGCCTCTAAATTTATAATTTCAAAAGCTACTTGTCATCCTTTTTCTTAAAAACTCAAAGAAGGGTTATCTGTCATCTTCTGAGGGTAGTACAAGATAACCAGTGCTTTACAGAGCTCATCAGGGAACAGGGGATATGGTCAGCCGCATGGTGCCTGCCTAAGGGGAAGTCCTGAGTCTGATACTAAACTAGTTTTGGGTTCGTCACACAGGTCAGTGTCTCCTTTAATACGTGAGAAAGCGAGAGTATTTGCCTGAGACTACGCTATTCTTGGGCTATTATGAATGAGCTCTGTAACTTCTCTAACCCTCAGTATTTTAAGAAGAGCTTACTGTTATTATTTATGTCACATCTTTTGCAAATGCAAAAATATTTTTTCAATTAACTTTTTCAGTAAGATTTCAAGAAACTGATTAATAAAAAAACAAATTTAATAATTTGAAAATGTATCAATTTGTTATTATAATTAGCCATTATCCTTACATCCTTACACTCTTTTTTAAATAATGAACAATGCCTAATACAACAGCATCCACTTAAAAACTGAGTTTGTACAGCAATTAACCACTAAGAAGAATGTATGCAGTGTGTTCATTATTGAAACTGTCCTACTGATTTGATTTGAAACTGTCTCATTGCTATTTATCAATAAAATTATGGCAAAAAAAATAAATAAAAAAAATAAAAACTCTGAGGTTGAGAATCAGCTTATATTTTCAACAAGATACTCTTTATAAAAGTGGGTTGTGCCTTGTCATGTTCAGTAAAGTGCACTCTGCACCTGTAGTCTAGTAGCTTCAGAGTGGCGATGGCATGTGAATTGACCCTGGACTCGCTTGGCAGTGTCATGGCTGTGGTCTCAGGAACACAGTCACTTCGTCCAGGTCCATCCTCTGGTAAAAGAAAAGTTACACAAAAGCAAGATGTATTCATTCTTACAATTCTCAATATTATATAAAGACAGCATACATGATTCCTAGATGTTAATGATAAGAATGCATTTAAACATATACTTTATTCCCAGTAATTTTGATATCACTCAGAACAGTAATGATAAAAAAAAACCCAATAAAGTTCTTCAGTACTGCTTCAAAACCTGTAAGGAAATTCATTAAGAAGTTTCACACTGTGCTAAGGAAGGATGACAAGTAATCCTCTTGATTGAAGTAATATGGTACCTTAAAGGAATTTGTAAACAAAGAAAAAATACAGCTTCCCTCAAATGCCTACCACATAATTTGCTTATTTTTTCAATTTAAGATATAATGAAGCTAGCTATCCTTACCACTTAAAATCTGGCAATACGCATAATCAAATTTTTTGACATTCTCACACTATCAACCATCTTACTAAACTCCAGAACTTAACACTGCCATCACATGGCATATAAACTTACACACACACACACACACACACACACACACACACACACACAAATGCACGCCCATGCAAACACACACACTTGAAACGATAGTGGATTTTAGAGGAAAAAATGATATGAACAATCTAAAGAGAAGTAAAGTAAAAGTATGTATTTTCAACAATGTGGAAAAGCTTGAACAATTCTATAACTCCTGTATAAGAGCAGAAGACATGCTAGCAGAAAATAAAGAAGTATCAATGATTTTGCTTTAGCTCAAGAGGCATTCAATGATACTTGTTAGATAATAGTAAATACATTCCTCTTTTTATCAATCATTCATTAAGAATGATTTTTTTATTTTTTATTTTTTTTTTGCTCCGAATGCCTTCAGGGCAGGTTTGGCTGGCTTGAGTTGTGGGGATGAACCACAGCAACCTGAGCCTGACTGCTTTGTTGAAGCAGCCACTTAAAGAACTAAGCTAAGGGGCAGGCCCCGAAAGAATGATTTAAATACACAATTACAAGTTGATGTATAAAAATATCCACTTTGAAAAAAAGATACAGTTATTTCCCACATAAATACAATACCAAAGTAGCGTAAGACAAGTGACAGAATATCAAAGAAATAAAGGATATCAAATACATGGCTTGGTATTTATAAGTTTCTTAGCAGTTTAGAGAATATGTAATATGTCTCAATTTCCAGAGACACTTCTAACAATGAGCATTCAGGGAGGCTACTGGCTCTGGGAGGAGCTGGTGGGAGAAATGAATTTATTTTTCGTTATATATCTTTACATATGGTTTTTGAAAACCATTTTCACTTATTGACTTTTTAATTTAAAAACCTATATAATAATTTAAAAATCTCAAAGTAAAGAGGTTCACTAAAGGACAAGTATGATGACTAAAAGTAAAGCACACCGAAGCACACTGCTAACACAGTTCACGAGCAACTTGGTTTGCTAACGGAAACTGCTGGCCAAATTTTGGCTGCTTGCAAACTCCTGAATGGGCTGATAAGCATGACCCTGTCACCTTTCCACACAAACACAGATGTGGCCGGCCTTCTTTTTCCCAAATTGTAAAGCAAATTAAGTTTGTGAGCTGAGGTACCACTGTATACTATCGTGTAACTGGAATAACGGCAACGGAGAGAAGACTGAACGTTTCCAGGAAGAAAACCTCGCTACTGGTGCAGGTGGCAGGTAGAAAGAGCTGCCTAAGACAGTCGCATACAGTGGGGAGGCAGGAACTGTGCAGGGAATTCTGTGGGCTCAGGGAGTTGGAAGGGCACATAGGGCGGCCAGCTGAGCATGACTTCCTGAACCCTAATCGGGAAATCCCCGGGGTGTCGGTTTGTCCCTGGGCAGGTGCAAGCGTGGACTGCCCTACCAACTGTTGCCCTGCTACTGTAGAGCCTTGTTCACCCTGTCACTTGTCCTTGCTTGGTTCTGGGAGGTGGGGCACAGCACCAAAAACCAAAACAAAACAAAAAGATGATTCTCACATCATTTTGGCTGGAAAGGCAAAATCAACAGTACGTCCTAGATTACTCAGTGAGTACGGAACAAAGAAGGACGACAGGGACAGAATCTTCACATAAAATATGCTGTGCTGGGTTTCAGAGCCAGAGTAACAAGGTGTGAGAACTTTGGGGTGTGCCAGAGAAGCTGACAAACCACATCTCTTTGAACATAAAAGCAAAGGGCTGTCATCCACGCATGCATTTGGTACAGGGTCTCACTACACAGCCTGGACGCGTAGTGATCCTCCTGTCTCAGCCTCCGCAGCACTGGGATTATAGGCATGCTCCACCATGCCTGGTCTTGATGGCCAGCTCGGCAAGCCAGGGTGGGGACAGGCAGTACATGCAGTACTGGGTATGGAACCCAGGTCCTTGTGCTTCCCTAAGCAGGCACTTACTCCACTGAGCTATCTCCCCAGCCTCTGTAGTTCTTTTGATTGTGTCCTGTATTCTATCACTTTACCCAGCCTGCTAGGAGCTACCTTGGCAGAAGTGAAGAAGATAATCAGAAAGCTCACATATCACCAAAAGGAATGGGTACGGGATATTTCTGCAGGAGTCCTGTATTTATGGATGAGTGAGAGGCTACACAATTTCCTAGAGCCAAGCAAGCTGCCGCCTCAGAAGAACCATAACAGTTCACTACGCTTTAAACATTCCCATTTCATGCTCCTGACTGTTATCCTGTGTAACTTTAGTACCCTCTATTAAAATGAAAGGTACTAAATGAACGTTTATTGCCCGAGGCCAGAACACGGTTTGGGAGGGAGGAATGGGCCAAAGAGAATTAGCTGAGCCTGCAGATTACGACACCAGGGAATCTGCTACCATAAACACAGGTTTCCCGGCTCCATCCGCATCTACCAATCCAATGTTGCATGAGTGAGGCCCACCGTCTGCTTACAGGCCCTCCAAAAGGCACTGGTAAGCACCAAAGTCTGAGACGCACCATCCCAACCTATCTCTCTAGTCAAGTACCCCATTTTTGTTAAGTAAAACATGAAGATCTTGAATTACTCATACGTAAGTAGCACCAATCCCTGGTGGTTCTAATTAAAATGAATTTATGCATTGAGATACCTGTGAGGGGGCTGGGCTCAGGGTCTCAGAGGCTCAGGTCCACAGCTGCTGAGATCCACTGCTCTAAGCCCACAGGACACAGTATGTTCTATGACTGGCATGGCCAAGGGGGCATGCTCCCCTCACGGGGGCCAGGATGCTAGGGTCTTAATAATTCCCTCTCGGCTCAGCCCCAGGGACCTGGCCGCCCCAGTGAGGCAGCACCTCCGCACAGCCTCCCCAGAGCAGGCTGGACTGGGAAGCGAGCCTTTACCACAGGCCTCTGGGGGAATAGTTCAGATCCAAGCTACAGTGTGGCCTGTTCCTTCACTGGGCAGTTGCTCCATAAAAAGCTCATTTCTTACAAGAAATAAAGTTATGCTTTGATAGGGAAAAGTAGTCTAGATCTTTTACTTGTATGCATGTGAAAGCTGAGGTCTATCTGAAATTAGGTTGTGCATAAACATAACCTGTGCTTCATAAGACTATCACCATTATAAAATGCATGCTTTAAAAAATTCAACTTAACTGTCTTGAAGTCCAAGAACTCAGGCTATATTTTAAGTATGCATACCTGTGCGAACACAACAACATGAGAAGGGATGAGAAGCAGGCTCTGGAAGCTACAAATGTGATGAGACAACTAGTGCAAGAAGTAGCTGTAAATGTCAGGAAAGTGAGCAGATGTGGAGGAGATAAACCTGAAAGCTTATGAATAAGAAGTTGCTTTCGCTCAGGCTTTGAGCATTGATACATTTCTCTCCTACTATTTTTTAAAGCAGGTAAACTAATTTCTTTTCTAGTCTTTTGTGCAGTTGGCTTTTACTTGTTTTTCCTATTTGAAATAAAATTTCCCCACCCCAAATGTAAGGAGAACAAAGGAGAAAGAGAAAAGGAAACAGTAAAGGGACATCAAGGTATGATGGATAAAGGAGCCATGAAAACCAGCTTACCCTGAAGACACACAGTAGAGAGAAACGCTCAGGAAAACGCTTTACTGACCCTTGGTCCGTGGGGTTTAAACTGTTTACTCTGGCAGATGCTAGTTTCCTCCAATTTTTGTTCTATGGACAGAATATGCATTTCCAGAGGGGAGAGGACAAGGGAGTAAAGATGACTGATGCCACGTGATGTGCGTACGCAGCAGGTGTGCTGGGTGACTGCAGCTACTACACACCCCAAGCAGCCCTTGGTTTCGAAGAAACACATTTCCCAGAGACCAGCGTAGGTCAGGACAACAGGAGGAGCTCCTCTAAAAGGAAGAGTTCATGTCACCAACAAATGGGAGAACTCTTTGAGAACACCAGCAAGCAGTAGTAGCAAAGCATTTAATCCTCTGGAAACGGCCATATGAGCAAACCTCAAATGAAAAAACATAAAATGCACACAAATGCAGTCAGGCAACCCCAGCATTCCAACTCAGCCTCTTCTGCTCTGCTCTCCCAGCTCACAGAGGCAGAAGCCTGCACCCTGAGAATATAGGATTCCCTCCCATCGGCGCCGGTGCCCAGCCCTGGCTCTTCCTGGGAGGCAGGCAGCAGCTCGCCTGCCCCAGCTGCTTGCAACTGCGTCTAGATCCTTGTGAGCAGGCTCCGGAGGCTGGGGCCTTTCTTCAGTCAATTCCCAACCCCCCCTTTCGGCTGTGGTTCAAGGCAAGGAGTCAGAGATACTAAGCTCGGGTGACTGCCTTCGGCCTCCAAGGAGTGCTCAGCTCCCAAGGTTGGGTGACACTCAGCCACTGTCCCTATTTTCAGCTCCACAGCCCTGGCTCACAAATTCTGCCTGGCGATGAGGCTATAGAACTGCTTTTGATCTCTCTCCAAAAGAACTGGCCTCTTTTTTCCATAAATTTATTGAGAAAAAAATAGCAATGAGACAGTTTCAATAATTAACACATTGTGGCCTCTTTTTCAGTCAAGGGAAAGCTCTCAGAAATGGGAGGTTTGGGGAAAGACACTTGTCTTTCTCATCTGATTCTTGTCAGGAGCCACTAGAGAGAGAGATACATGGGTGAGCTGCTGACAGGAAAAGGCAGGATGGGAACAGGGAAGCCAACATGGCCCAGTGTCACTGTGGGGCCAAACCCTGCCAGCAGCAGTAGAGGAGTTCAGTTATTCAGAGCAGGCAATCAAGAGAAGCCCAGCCACGGGGTCAGTAAAAGAAAACAGCCCAGGAAAACAGCTAACGCAGCTCAAGTAGTGCAGACAAGCTGAGAATGCCAAAGACAAACACAAGAATAATAAAGATAAGAGACTGGGATGAGAAAAGAGACATGAGAACTTTTATCTCTGGGAAAAAAACTCTAATCTAGAAGAAACAGTGTTTTGTTTTGCATTGTTTTGTTTTTTGTTTTGTGAGCTAGGGTCTTATTATGCAGTTCAGGCTGGCCTTGAGCTCACTGTATAGCTCAGGCTCGCCTTGAACTCAAGGTGCTCCTACTGCCTCAGCCTTCTGAGTGCTGGGTTACAGGTGCACACAATGAGGCATGGCTTGCTAACACTTTAACTGCTCCAATTCCAAACTCAGACTTAAATTCAAGAAACATTAAAAATACAAGATAACTGGTTTCTCTTTTTTTTTTTTTTTTTGGCAGAACTGGGGATTGAACTCAGGCCTTTGTGCTTGCCAGGAAAGCGCTTATTCCAGTGAGCCATCTCCCTGGCCCCGATAACTGGCTTCTTTTAAACTCATCCTCTATAAGCACAGTGGACTTCCTCTTTCTTGGGTAGCACCAAGAACAGTTTGCTTTTTGTTTTTTCTAATAAACACTCCCATAAATTACTCCTTTTGTCCTCACATTTATTCTTCAATTCTGGAAGACAAATTATCAGGTTCACACAAAATTACCTGAGTCTGTAGGTCAGGTAAAGACATGCACTTCTGAGATACACTGCCAAGGAGAGAGGGCTGTACCAGGCTGCGACCCCATCACAACTTGAAGACTAACTCTAGTACTGTTAGTCAAATAGGTTTTGAAATGAAAAGTTTGCCAGGAACATATTGTAACAAAATTAATCAACAAACTATTACACAACAAGTCAAAAGACATCACAAGAGAAATCAGAGAATGCTGAGAGTTGACAGGGTACATGGAAGCAGATAAACAGCAGCCGTGCTGGGAGGCAAATTTATAGCTACTGACATACACTCAAATACATACATTCCAATCAATAACCTAACCACCAACTTTAAAGAAATTGGAAAAAGAAAAGCTGATAAATTAGGTACAATATAGATAGTAATTAGACTGGAAGTTAATGAAACAAAACAGAAAAGTAACAAAATTAATGAAACAAATTTAGTTCTTCAGAAAGCTCAACAAAATCAACTCATCAGTTAACTTTAGCAGGGTAATAGCCCTTGTGAACATAGACATAAAAATCCTCAGTGAAACAGTAACAAAACTATCTGCGTAACATAAAAGGAATCAGACAGAAGGAAGATGGCGCAGTAGATGCCAATGGCCAATCACAACTTCTCCAGGACCTGGCACAGTGACACGGCAAAAACAATGACCTCGCAAAGACAAAGAGAAGAGCTCTGGGAATCAAGAAAGCTACCGGAGAGACACATCAGGCAAAATCAGGAGATAATGCACAGCAGGAACAGAGCAGCCTGGAAGCTAATCCCAGCTCCTGGGGAGAGAGAGGGGTCTGCCCCTGAGAACAGGGGAGGCCATGGCAGCTGGATGAGGGGTGAGACCAGTGGCAGTCATGGAGTGGGGTGGTGTCTGGCTCAAGACTGAGCCACTCCAGGAATGATAAATCACTGACAAACCGCACTTTAGGGCCTCTGGTGGGAGACAGCCAGTGTCACACAGGCTTTATACACATGAAGCGCAGGCAGTCCTGGGGGTCCTCTGAGAGGTGGGCACCCAAAGTGCTTGGAATGAAGACCCCTCTTTCTAGCATAGGGCTCCAAGATCTGTTTGCTTTCCCCACCCACCAACACGCTCAAGGGTTTGCCTCCAAGGTTTCTGGAGAAAATGAAATTATATGCATGGATTTCTTTACTTAGCTTGGGATAACGGCTGCTTAAGAGGAATGTCTACATAAATGCAACTTGTGTGAGGCGCACCCTGGCTTTTTGATCCATAAAATTCTGACTACTCTGATGTGACCTCTGAGTTCAGTTGTGTCAGAGTAATCAACTATTTGTGAAGAGAAAAGCTTATTAGCAGAACAAAGAAAACTCACTGTTAGGAAATGAGCCTTAAAAAAGTAGTTTAATCATTTCTGGAACGCCAAGGTAGAAGGCAAAAACTGCAGAAGAACATGTGCCTGCCGGCAACTCAGGCTGCAAGAAACCCAGAGTTGCAACCTCACTCGGCAGCCGCAACACCACTGCTACAACTGTTTCCTTCATATTCTAGTTTATATCTAGCCTACTACAACAGATGTGAAGCAAAAAGTAGGCTTTATCACACTTTTAATCATGTATTAAAGTTTAATAAGTAATGGTTGAATATAAATACATTTACGTTATTTTCATTTTTTGTACAAGTTCATGTTAAGTAATCAAATCTTAAAAATGTCTCACTTGTTAATTTTTGTCAAAAGTTAGCAAAGCTGTACACGGACAATGAACATTTAATACTGACATACTTACAGGTCACTTGAATTCAAATATTATATCCTGAAAGTAAAGTTTTGCTGCTTTTTCAAAGTTGAAGAATTAGGTACATATTGAGGCTTTGTTATACTGTTTTATAATTGGTAGATTTTAACATAAATCCAAGAGATTGAAAGCAGAACATTATCATTGTAAGTTTAAGGATTTTTAAAATAACTTCAGGATTTTTATGGCTGGTATGGGCCCAAATTTACAGCCACACCTTCCTTTTAAACATTCACATCCATGCTACACTGAAATTCAAGTAGTTAACATGCCATCATCTTTCATATATTCTTAAAATACAGCAGAAAATAGAAAAAAAGCAGAAAGTAGAGAAAATACCTTTGATTTTGCTGCGTAGGTACTTCAGTACTTCTTGAGTTCCTTTCTAAAAGGGTGGAGACAAAGATGTACATTCACCAGGGTACAGCTTATAATTCTACAGATCAGCATCCATATTTGAATTCTGACTTAATAAAGAGCTCAATTCTCAACATTCTTACATTAATAATTTCTCGTCGAATGGTTCTCAAAGGATTTCCTTCTAGTGCCAGGAATTTCAAATGAAGGTTTCCCAATGAACAGGGCAGACTGTAAAAGATTAAATTGATTTCAATTAAAACATTAACTATAAGAATAACATAACCATATAATTGACTAAAAATAAGAACATAAGACAATACATCATATAATAGTTTCAAAAGAGACCAAACTACTAAGCGTGAACTATTTTCCCTGAAGATAAATGCTAAACACGTAAAAGAAAACGCCACACATATCTTTGACACTATGGTATGAAAAGTGTGAAAATAGAAAGGGGTCAATAAAACATTTGCCAAATTCTATCCACTGCTAGAAAGTAAATGTTAAAAATGTTAAGTATTAATGAATCAGTATCTCAAGACAATCACTCTCACTGATAATTTTGATCGTGTACTTCAAGTAAAGACACAAAATTCCTTTTAAACAAAAAACATGACAGAAGAAAAAATAATTTTCAATCACCCAGATGTATTCATTCGAGGAGATATAACCTCAAATTTATTAAGCTTCTTTTTTATTAAGATGACGGTGTGAAAAGAGGATTGTTAGTGTAAGCTTTTAAACAACTGAAAATCACATGGACATGACTAACCAAACTGCAGTATGTAATAAAAATCTCCATTGCTGATGTGAAGAGAACACAGCGCAGGCACTACGGCCGGCACACACCTACCACACAAATGAGCAATCCCATTACTACATACCTAACCAAGAGAAATGAAAATGATGTCCACAGAGACTTGCATAGAAATGTTTACAACAGCCAAAAACCTGAAGAGGACTCTATCAGCTGAGCAGCGAAGAGGTGGGTACATTGCTTGAAGCACATAACAGAATACTCAGTAACAAAAACAAATGAAACTACTGACACCAACCACCAAATAAAAGTCACAAAAACTCCGCTACATGAGCGAAGCCTCATGCAAAAACTATACAGCTCGTGATGTCACTTACAGGGCATCCTAACAAAGCAGAACAAGACCAGAGCAGATCAGTGCTTAGCGGATGTTGGCGGAAATTCAGGGAGACGGACATGGTCTACATGACAGTAGCAAGGATTACACAGAGGGACTGGAGATGTTATCAAAACTACAGTCAATGTCTACATTTTTCTTAAGAACTACTACAGTAGTGCTGGCCATGCTCCTGGGGCGCGCTGAGATGGCAATTGAGACTGGGAGTGGTGGTGCACACTTGTAATCCCAGCTCTTAGGAGGCTGAAAACAGGCAGATCACTAGGAGTCTAACCTAGTAGTGAGATTCTGAACACCCTGTACACCCTTCCCTAAAATTAAAAAAAAAAAAAAAGAACTACTACAGTAAAAGCACAGTGCCCTTGTTCCCTCTCCAAATGCTCTCATTGTTCTTACAACTTTCTGAAGCAATTCTGCAAGGCTTCTTTCATGAATGTGTTTAGCTGGGCTGCCTCAACGTCCTGAACTGACTCATAGTCCATTAGATTAAGGTGGATACAACACACCGCACTTCACATTATTCTGTACAACTCTGCCTTTCTGTTGGACGCTACTCATTAGCAGCGCTCACTGGATGCTTTATCACACCTCCAAAAGACATCAAGAAGAGGGTTTTTCAAAATTGCTTTTAGGAAAAAAATGGGGTAAGTGAATGGGAAGTGCACCCCAAGAGAGTGGGCGTACTCTGAAGGGAATTAGAAGAACTGCAGTATGTCTTTTCATACAATAACAATTTTTAACTAAAGCACTCACTGTGTATTTCAATCACAAGTTGCATAGTTGTCAAGTTATCAAACTATATGGCTGAAGTGGTAAATTTTAGTATGTGTAAACGACACATCAAAATGAGCATAAAAATGAGTATAAAAAATAGATGAGAAGACAAATGCTAAACAACTTAAAACTCTATGAACATAAAACTAGACATGAGAAAGGGAAAAGCTAAGAGAGCAAAAGCAAATCCAGGGTTTGCACTTAAGAACAGGACGCTCTCAGGCAGCAAGGCCGGCACAGGGCTTTCAGGGAAGAACACCACGAGGACCTGGTGGAGTTCTAGTCAAGGTAGTCAATGATCAGGAGACCAGTAAGAGCAGAAGAAAATGGATGAAGCCTGAGTGTGAAACACCCTGGAACTGTTTTGCCGGTAGATTTGGACCTTGTAAGATGATAGTTTTCAATGTGCTGGTGGGAGGAAGACCTGATGCACAAAAACTTCCCAAGAATGGTTTCAATAATAATGATAATAATAATAATAATAGAGAAAGAAAGGGAGAGGGGAGAAAGAAATGAAAGAAAAGAAAAAGAAAGGAATGGAACAGAACAGAGAGGAAAGAGAATTTTAGGGTCTCACTATGATTCTAAAGTACTGGTCCCTCAAGCCCTATATTTCTCCCCTTAGAACCTCTTAAAGAATTATCATACATAATCATATTTGAGAAACATAGCTATGGTCATGGGAAACCATCAAACCTTTTAAGTAGAATGACCTAATTCTTTTTTAATAGAAACTATCAGCAGTGTAAGGAGTCAATATTTAATCAAAAGAAAATCTAGTGATGCAAAATGAATTATCATTAATATCTCAGAAGTATTTACAAAAAGGGAAAAATTCTAATATTTACTAAATACTATTATATCCTAGCTGTGTGTGCATGTGTGTATGCACATGTGCATGAGATACCTAAAACAATTACTTACAGTTTTCTTTCCTTTTTTTAAAAAAAACTTTTATTTATTTGGTTAGTGTCTTGCTACATAGCTCAAATTTGTAGTGATCCTCCTGCCTCAGCCTCCCCAGTGCTGGGATTAGAGGTATGTGCTACTAAGCCTGCTTTCAGGGCCACACAGTGTTCCTGGGTCCCAGGGCCAGCATGGCATGCGGTACTGGGGATCAAACTTGGGCCCCTGTACTTTCCAGGCAGGCACTTGGACCATCTCCCCAGCCCCCTACTTACAGTTTTCTTCTTAAACACTTGCCTTACATTGTTAAGTTGATCTGATGAAATCTCCAGACAAAAATTTATATCTTAACACTTCTAAGGGGCACCTACTGATTCTGTCATTAGCTAGTCACGATACACAGAAATCTGTTCCTTTACGCTCAAAGACTGGAATGGTGGTCCACACATGTAAATAATCCCAGCGCATGGAAGGCTGAGGCAGGAGGACGGCCAAGCGTTCAAGGCCAGCATGAGCTACACAGTGAGACCTCATCTCAAAACAATAAACGAACAAAAATAAGAAAAACAATGGTCAAGCTGTACCATATGCCATATGTGCGCAGCGGGAAAAAACACCTAATTTTAAAGAAATATTCATCAAATATACACATAAGAAAATCTAACGCCTAATTTTTCTTCTGCAAATAGCACCCTATCTTTCCAGCATCTAAGGGCAAAAACTCAGACATCTAATTGGTGCACAATCCAAGGTAAGAAGAGTCACGTTTTTTATATCTAAAAAGTAGCTCCCTGCCTATCATGGTCCTATCACCTTTTATGCGTCTTTGTTTCCTACTTGGTTCCTCCCCATCTCCAGGCAGCTCCCAAATACAGCTTCGCTAATTTACCACCTGCTCCCATCTGCCCTCTCTTCCTCTCCCTTGCCACTGGCATCACAGTTCAGGGCCTGGTACTCAGTGAACCAGACAGGGCAAGTGTCCCTTAGACAGGTGCCTTGGACTAAACTAATGGAATCTGATTAGACTTCCTACTCAGAAAATCACCTCCAGTCAATGTATCCAACCAAACACCATCTATTTATTGTTAATATTATAATCAAACTGGTGGTCACAGTCTTTTTTCAATAGCTTTTAACTAATGAAAACTGATTACTCTAGGGCCTCTTCCACATGGGCTGAACTTGATTTTCAAGCCCTAAATCCTCACAACTTCCCTCCTCACTCTGTCTTTAGAACTCCAAACCTTTGTTTGAACACTTTCCTTTTGCCAAGTGGACTCTGCTTGAGAAGGATCCTAGTCATTCTTTAAAAATCCCTGAAGTGAACGCAGGCTTCACTTTTGCGCTCCAGGTCACTAGCTGCCTCAACCTAACCCCATCCTGAAGGTCACTGCAAAACACTGCACCTACGAACTCTGCCGCAATTCCTCTCAGCAAAGTCCAAAGCCTTTACTCTCCTCAAAACATTTTATATTTCTCTTATGGCTTTACGTTTATTTAACAAATTCAAAATTATTGATCCAGGACTTCCTGTCTGCAGAGGCACCATCTAGTAGTTAGAAATAAAGCCATCAATTACACAAGACAGAAATCCAGCCTGCTTACGATTCAGTTCCAGTAAGTTACAGTTACTTGCACTTACATTTGCTTGTATTGTTACATCAAGCTGGCAACCAAGTACAAAAATCTATTAATATTTCTTTGCATAAAATACCTGCTTAATAAATATTTAGCAAATTCAATGTGCCAAAAAGAATTCATGAATTTTATATATATATATTTTTAACTAACATTATAATCAAATAACAGGCACAAGTTCTATTCCTTTGATGTTTCAACTTACCTACTAATATCATTGTTGCTTAGGTCAAGTCTTTCCAAAGACTGTAGCAGTGTAATTTCATCTGGAACAGATTTTAACTTGTTATCCCTCAGGTCTAGCACAAGGATAGAATTCAGATGCTTAAGGTGTTCTGCCCCTAACATTTCAATCTGGTTTTCACCTACATGCAATTCCTACAAAATCAAAGATCAGTTATGTGTATTTCCTTCAATTCTATACTACACAATGAAAAAACACTGTGGGCTCTCTCACTCATTCTAAACCATTTACACATACTTTAAAAAAATGCAACTTTCTCATTAATATGCTTATATTTTCATGTAAGCCAGCTTACAGCTAATGAAAAATAACAAAAACATTTTCAAGAATTTTCTTGCAATTTAAAAATAACTAAGGATGAGCCTGGCAGGAACATCAAGTGTACAAAAGCAAAGCTGAGCACTAACTTTGCCCTTAAATTCATAGGGTTGAGACAATCAATCTAAAAACCATGGGGGAAAATTAGTTTCAAAACAATCATATACATCCAAAAAAGTTATATATATTATAGTCATCTTGGTATTTAACAGTGTCATCAGTGGTTATTATATATACTATTTCTTACTGGCAAAATCTTCATAATTAGATGAAAAATTATAGTAATTTTTCCAGTGGTTTTTAAAATCACTATCACCATTCTATTTGGGAAAAGATAACACTGAACACTCATACATTAAAAATATATGTAAAGAAAAGTGACGCATGTTACATGAAAAAGATATTAATCCTAGATAGTTAAAATAATTTTAAACACACCTGAGCATGATCAGGTAAATGTGAGAAGCAAAAACTGAACAGAATTAAGTACATATAAATGATTCAATGAACGAAATGGTAAATCTCTACTTAAGTTAATTATATCTTTTCAAAAGTTGACTATGAGCAGTATCACCACTGTCTGATAAGCTTAACACAGAAAAAACATTAAAGGCAATAACAAGGACTGGGGATATAGTTCAATGGCAAAAGCGCCTGCCTGGCAAGCACAAGGTCCCAAGTTTGACTCCCAGTACAACAACAACAACAACAACAACAACAACAAAGTTAGTAAGACCAATGTAAAAGACCAAGACGAGCAAGAAGATTTTTTAAAATAAATTTGTCTTCAAAAATAACTTTTAGAAAATATGCAGTTATTGAAAAGTCAACTAAAGAGTACCTTCAATAGTCTACAAGAAGGAAATTCCGGTAGAAAACGTAATTTATTCCTTCGCAAATAAAGCAATTCTAGAGATTCCATGCCAGCCAATTCAGGGGGTATAGTTTCCAAGAGATTTGAATTGCAATCCAAGTGCTTTAATTCTGTAATATACATTCAGGGAAAATCAGAATTACTTTTTAAAATAATTGTCTAGATCATCGTACAGTCAAAAAGAAAAGTTATTTAAAATTCAGTTTAAGAACTCTAATATATACACACTCTCCACTACATCCTCAATCATCACAAATCTTTTTAAAAAGCTCAGGAGAGCTAACAAGGTAGAAGCACGTGTCCGCGCTGGCTGCCAGACCAGGGCTCTGCTGCGGTGGTCGTGATTCAGACCCAGCGTCTTCCGGCAAGCTGACTCCTGCTCACAAGCTTTACCCAGTTCGTGTCTTCCACCCCCACGCACTTCCCTCTTACTCTTCCTCCTTGCTCTCCTGCCTATGTCTTGTTTCAGTTACATGCTTGGCCTCAGCTCACACTCCTCATCTGAGCACATGCTCAAGAGAATGTCCTTTGTCACAGGATACTTTCTGTATCTTTGTTAAAGGCAGAAAACAAAACTGGAAGGCAAAGGTCTTCCCTGCAAGCATTTTAATAAGCCATTTTCTCCCTAACACACACTGTAGCTCCTCCCACTCATCAGGCCTCCTACACTCTGCAGACGGTGATGATCAACCCTCCTGCCAAGCTGCATACCTAACACGTGCTCTACAGCTTTTCCTATACGCTGAACTTGTCACTTTTAACATAATTCGAGATTCTGCTGATAGATTGCTTTTCTTTGAGGATATGAAGATAACTCTTTGGAAAATAAATGCAGCACTACTTTCTACCACCAGTAGTAATTTATACATTACTTGGCCAGAAGAGCAAAACAGAAGTCACTACCCAATCTACCTGAACCAAGTAAATTCTATACATAAAACTTGGTTTTGAAACTAGAGACTCTGGGACGGGCCAGATAGCTCAGCAGACTAAAGCACCTGCTCAGGCAGAGTGCAGCAGCGACAAGCCGTGCCAGCCCCACCCCCAGGACACCCCGAGATGGCGAATGGGACTGGGTGTGCTGGCTCATGCCTATAATCCCAGCACTGGGAGGCTGACGATGAGGATTGCTACAAGTTCAAGGCCAGCCTGAACTGAAAACTGAGACCTTATCTCAAAACAAACTCAGAGGAGCCTAGTTATCCCATCTACCTTCCACCACTGCTGTGACCCATCGGATGCTAAACCATGTTCACAGAAGCACTCTGGACTTACAAAGCACCACAAAAGTGTGAGACACTGCTCTTGGAATCTGATCATTAGTGGTGAAACAACAACTTACTCTTTTACTTATGCTAGATTATAAGTACCCGTCATGTATGCCTGAGGAATACAAAGCCTGATCATCAATTAAACAGGATAGTGCGAAAGTTGCTGTAAATCTTACAATTTCCCTCAGGTTCCCCACCCCCCCCGGGGGTTCGTGTGTCTGGGCGTGACTGGGGACTGAACCCAGAGCCCTTCATATGCTCAGTATGTGCTGCACCCTGAGCACAACCCTAGCCCTCTATGATTTTTTATTTAGAGACAAGATCTTACAACATGGCCCAGGCTGGCCTCAAATGAGTGATTCTCCTACATTGGCCTCCAGTAGCTTGGATCAATGAATGCTCCACCACACCTCACTATATCGACTTTCTGGTAATGTTCTTATCTCTAAAGATATTTTCAACAAATTTATAAAGAAAACTAAACATGCTTCTTGTATCTTCATACAGGGAGGTTTATATATGTTTCTCTACCACGCATGGCAAATGATGAATCTCAAGTAAAATAACAAATCTTTATATTTTATCTCAAAATTATCAGCAATTATAACAAAAGATCACTTCTTTGATAGCCTTCACAAAAAAGATGGTTATAACAAATGAAGAGGATGTATGAGTGCTTAGCAAAACCAGATTTGATTAGTGAATAGTTTACACCTGATACACAAGGTGCCATCAATCAAGAAATAGTATTTCTGGCTTGAACAACAACAACAAAAACATTTCGTACTCTTAATTGGAAATTCTAATATGACAAAGAATGCCTATTTAAATGCCTATTTAAAATGTTAACTTTTTTTTTTTTTTTTTTTTCTCTCTCTCTCTCTCTCTCTCTTTTTTTTTTTTTTTTTTTGGTACTGGCGATCGAACTCAGGACCTTGTGCTTGCCAGGCAGGCACTTAAGCTACTGAGCTATCTCCCCAGCCCTAAAATGTTAATTTTCATATCCCCTAATAATAGTTTTTAAAAGAACAAAGAAAAAAAAGAAAAAGAGAGAAGCAAACAAGAACCCCCAAATATTAGTTCTCCAGTGTACTGATATAGGGGCTGGAGAGATGGCTCAGTGGTCTAAAGCACCTACTTGGAACAAGCTTGGGGACTGTGGTTCAATCCCCCAGCACCACATGCCAGCAGCCCCTCCCCCAGGTGGGCTGAGCTGGTCACACACACACAATAAATAAATGTAAAATAAATAAAAATATTAAAAAAAAAAAAGAGCTCCCCTCCAGTGTACTGATATAATAGGGCAACGGTAAACTTTAACAGAAAAACAAAATTTTGAACTTTTGGGCCAAGGATATAGTTCGGTGGTGCAGCATCTGTCTGGGAAGCACAAGGTCCTGAGTTCAATTGCCAGTATCAAAAAAAAATTCTTTTTGAACTTTTATTTTAAAACAAAAGGACTAACAACCTAGGCCCTCAGGCAAAGCGCGGCCATCTTGCGACACTGTTCGCTGTTACAGACGTGAATGCTGCAATCACACACCACGGGTGCACTCAATCATGAGACAGGATTGATCTCTAAGAACAAGACTAGTATAGCGGAAAACTTACTGATTTCTCAGATACACAATTTTACCACAATTCACAATCAGACTGTCCCTCCCTCTTCTTAATAAGCCCAAACAACTTTTGGTGGTAACTACTTAGGCAATAGCTGGACAAAAATATCCTGGAGGAAATCTGACTACTGTTCCATGATTATATCAAAAATTATTTCTGCAAAGGCAACATGTATCAATACCAAAGTCAAGCAATTTTTAAAATATAGAAGCTTTACTTTTCATTCTACTCATTTCTGCTGGCAGACTCTTCAGCTGGTTACTGGAAAGGCTGAGTCGCTTCAGATTGGGTAGGGAAGAAAAGCTACCAGGAACAGCTGCAAGACGGTTGTTGGAAAGATCCTTTGAAAAGAGAAAAGATGGAACACGTGAACAAATGAGAAAGCAAAAAGTGAGGAAATACCCTTAAAAGGGATTTGAGAATTGCGAGAGAACATAACATAAAAGACTCTTTCAGGAGAGAGAGATTTTTTTTACCTCTACCACTGAAACTTTCAGTGACTACCATCCATTTGGATATTCTTTCAAAACCTATAGGCCTACTATGTGTCTGTCCATCAGTGTAGCAGACAAGATAGAAGGAAATGCATACTTAAAAAATTAAACTGAAAT